CTAATCCTGTCCTATAGGGTCGTTAGGTGCTTTGGTGGTGTAGTGCCTAAGACATTTGACTGCTAGAAGGCTGGCAGTTCAAACCCACCAGCCACTCCTCAGAAGGAAGATTGGGCACTCCACTTCCGTAGAGATACGCGTCGGAAACCCAAGGAGTGGTCACTACGAGTCGGATTGGACTCAACGGCAGTGAGTTTGGGGTTTTTTTTTTTTTTGGTTTATAGAGTTGTTATGAGTCAGAACTGACTCAATGGTGGTAGGTTTTGGCTTTTTGGATCTAATCCCTGGGGAGTCCGGGTAGCACAGTGGTTAAAGCACTCAGCTGCTAACCGAAAGGTCAGTGGTTCAAACCCACCAGCTGCTCTGCAGGAGGAAGATGGGTTCATCTGCTTCTGTAAAATTTATTGGAAACAAGGGGACGTTCTCTGTCCTATAGGGCCACTGTGAGTTGGAATCGAAGCAGTGGGTGGTGATCTAACACTGGTCCTATCATGATTTCTCCTCTGGGCTCTTCTGTCCTGTGTCCCCTCTGAGTCCAAGCCCTGCCTGGTTTGTACAGCAGCCTTGGACGTGACCTTTCCCCAGCCCCCAGTCCACACCACTGGGTGCTGCTGCCAACTTCCTCAAACCCCGTCTGCATCCTGCCTCACTTCTCCGAAACCATCCTTCATCCCCTTTCCTCCCACCCAGACTGCTCTGGGTGAGAGGTCACATGACAACACCAGTGCCTGGGCTCTGGGTTCAAATCCCACCCTGCACTTGTTGCTGAGTGGCCCGGCCAGGCCGCTTTCCCTCTGAACCTTAGGTGCTTTGTCATTAAGTCCAGGCTGCCGAGAGCATCTCCTGCAGTACTGCTGTGAGGCCCACACTCAGTGACATCTCTGGACATGTGGGGGGCAGAGTGGACGTGGGCGAGAGAGCCTGGGGACCTGGTGTGTTTGTGGGTTTGCCCCTTCTCCCTGGGCCAAACTGTCTGAAGCCTTTCCTGAGGGACATGCAGGACCCCCTCGGCTGACCCCCAGGCACAAGTGACTTTGCTGTTAGCCCCAGTCCCCTACTGGACTGCACTGAGGGGGGAACCGTGGCACTGCCCCCAGGAGCAGGTGGCCAGCCTTGGCCTGGAAACTGGGCCCGGGGTTGGGGTCTATGCAGAGCAGACCTGCCGCAGCCTCACCGCGGGGGCACAGAGCGTATGGTCTCAGTGAGCCGTCCAGCCCACTCTTCCACCCCATGTCAGAGCTGCTGGCCTGTGTCCCCACCCCCAGCTTATGTAAGAACCCATTAGCACTGGGGACTTTCACTCAACAAGCCGACCTGAACAGGGTCACCTGGGCACTGGCCTCAGTGAGACAGAGGCAGAGGGGCAAAAAGACGTGTGGCAGTTGCTGGCTGGGGGCACTGGGCAGGGCAGGGGCCCTCAGGGGGGTCTGGTCAGGCCCTCCTGGCCAATAGGGCTCTTGGTAACTCAGGTCCAGGCATTCGCTCTCATTCTGCCGTGCAGGCAAGGACAGAAGCCCTGCTGGCCTTCCCCCCAGAGCAAGCCTGGTGGGTGAGGATGGAGGGAGCTGTGTGTCCTCCGGTTCTGTGCTTCCTGGGGAAGTGACCCAGTGGGGCCTTTCCGGTTGAGCTGCCCGTGGGCTCCAGGCGGCAGAGCTGCCTTTAGGACAGGGGACCCTGGCTGCCCCCACCCACCTCTGACCCTGCCTCTTACTCTCTCCAGCCGACCCCTTTCCTGTAGTCTGAGGACATTGGCCTCAGCAGCGTATCCCAGACAAAGTCAAAAACCCACTGTCACCAAGTTGATTCTGACTCACAGTGACACTGTAGGACAGAGCCGAACTGCCCGCTAGGGTGCCCAAGGTTGTAAATCTTTTCAGAAGCAGACGGCCTCATCTTTCTCCCACGGAGCAGCTGGTGGATTTGGTTTGAACCGCCGACCTTTCATTTTGCAGCTGTGTGCTTTAACCAGCGAGCCACCAGGACTCCCAGACGTTGACTGTCTTTCTGGGGTCCATGGCCCTGGACCGAGGAGTGGAAGGGCCAGAGTGGAGGAGAGCTGCCCACAGGAGCCCGGGCTTGCTCCTCACAACCTTGGGTACACAGACCGAGGTGTGCGGGCCTCAGGTCCGTGGGGTCAGTGTGTGGAGGCTGGAGGCTCTGGCTTGGTTGGACTGAGAGGCCCAGATCCCTTCCTCTGATGATTCCGAGTCACAGGAGGTGGCCTCAGAGCTGGAGGGGGGGGAGGGGGGAGGGGGCTGCAGACCCTCAGCTGCCTCCCAGTGTCGGCCCTTCTTCCCTGCGTCCTTGCCACCCCCTGGCGCCAGGTGTTGGTGACAATGGGGTGGTCCTGCTCTTCCCACACTTCCTGCACTAGGATTTGGATGTGGCTTTTTCTAAAGGAGCTCTAGTGGCGCGGTGCCTAGGGGATCTGACTGCTAACCAGAAGGTTGGCGGTTCAAACCCAACAGCCACTCCGTGGAAGGAAGATTGGGCAATCTACTTCCGTAGAGATACCACCTCGGAAACCCAGTGGGGGTCACTGTGAGTTGGAATCAACTCGATGGTAGTGAGTTTTTTGGTTTTTTTGGGGGGCCAGGGGTGGGGAGTGTCAGGGGGACTGTCTCAGGCTTCCCTGGATCACTGTGGCCTCTGGCAGCAAAATAGGGGCCATCCCCCAACCATGGGCAATTGGGAAAATGGTGGGAATAGCAGGAAAGTTCCAGGTTCTCACGATGGCCAGAGGCCCAGATCACAGTGTTGGATGAAGCTGGGTCCACGTGGGAGGAGCTGGCAAAGTGTGAATGGGAAGGCCCTGCATCTGGGGGTCTGGGGAGCTGGGATCCTACCCCGTGCCCGACGCTGTCCCTGTTGGTCACCCCACCCTTGGCATGCAGTTCCTGCTTATTTCACTGAAGTGGGCAGCCCGTGCTGTGGGGTCTGCTGCCTGGATAAGCCCTAGTGACTTGCCCCCCCCCCCACTTGAGCACGCAGGGGTCCCTTCCCCAGGGCCTGTGGTTTCAGCTGCAGACCCTGAACCCGGGCAGGGACAGTGGCTTTCTGCCAATCACGGTTGTGAACGAGCGCTGCTGACCTTGTGCCCGCCACGGGGAGTGATTTCTAGTTTGATTCTTATAGTGCCCCCTGCGGAAACAGAGGATTTCAGTGACATTCCTGGGGGCTCCCTCTTGGGGAGGAGGTTTCCGGGCCTGAGCAGGGGCTGAGAAGCCAGTCCAGGCGGCAGGCGGGTCGGAGTTCCCTGAAGCAGCCATGCAGGAGCCTCCCAGCCCCGGGGCCCAGCAGCCAGGACCCTGAGCAGACACGCTGACTCTGTGGTCACATCCTCCCGCTCTGCCAGGGCCAGAAGGCTTCAGGCCTGGAGGGAAGGCCTGGCCACAGCCCTAGCACTGCCACCAACGGGTGTGTGGGCCTGGCCAAGTCCTTGCACCTCTCTGAACCTCAGTGCGCTCACCTGTGGAATGGGGACGGTATCACGAGTGTTTTCAAGGAGGTGACATTGCAGAGTACTCCTGAGACTTACCTGGGCTGAGGCTGCAGTGTGGGGAAGAGGGTAACGGGGGGCTGCCACAGTCTCTCAGGCCTCAGGACCCCTCTCCCCACCAACAAGGGTGTTGGGAGAGATCCCTGTCTGGCATGTGCGCTGTTGATGTTGGAGGTCAATGTCGAGTGAGGGATTATGTTCCCACCTTATTCTTCCAAGCTCTGGGCCCCGCCAGGCAGACTCAGACGGGGAGGCCTGGCAGCCACACTCTGGGCCCTCGCCAGCCTTGAGGGCAGGCTGAGCTGGGTAGCTGGTTGCTGGGATCCCCTGGGTGTTGCTGGTAGCTCATGGCTGTGTTTCCTGGGTGTTATCAAAGGGGAAACTGAGGCTCCAGGGTTGCATGGTGGCCCTGCCATGGTCTCTAGGACAGGAAGGGGGGACCCATCCCCCAGCCCTGCATCTCACACCTCCCCCCCCAGCAATCCCAAATCCCACGACCTCCTTGGCCTTGGCTTTCCCCCATCCTGTGTGGTCTCTGAGCCCCACCCCTTACTTCCCCCACTGTTATTGGTGTCCCAGCCCCCACCCTCATCCCAGCCCAGCCTTGGCCAGGCTCCCAAGTTGCTGGCTCAGGAACCACTGGCTTTTGCTGAGTGAGCGAGACCAGAGGTGCTGTCTAGGCAGGAACCTCGCTGGCCAAGCCCTCGCCCTTCCCCCAGCCTCTCCAGGGTCCGCTGTGCAGGGTGGAGCGTGGGCGAGGGAGGGGCGTCTCCAACGTCCATAAAAGGGGGTCCGCAGGCCCAGAGAAAGGTGCCCCACAAACTTCCTGCCTGAACCTTGCCTGTCTGCTCAGCGTCCTTCCTTTCTGGGCTGCCCTGAGTGGGGTGTAATTTGCATACAATTTGCATGTATAATAACCCCTCCCCGGTAGCTTCCGCCTGAGCTGCCCTGGGTGCCAGGCTTTACACATGTCTCTGGTGGTCTAACCAGAAGGCTGGCGGTTCAAACTCCCCAGCCACTCCTCAGAAGGAAGACTGGTTAATCTACTTCTGTAGAGACAGCAGCTCGGAAACCCAAGGAGGGGTTGCTATGAGTCTAGTCAACCCTATGGCAGTGAGTTTGCTTTTTTTGTTTTTTTCCAGTCCCTTCAGTGACCCTTGAGGTAGGGCCGTGAGGATTGGCCCCATTTTCTAGATTAGAAATGGAGACTGATTGTCTACACTGATGTAAAGGACACCAACAGAGCACCTACTGTGTGCCAAACACACACAGCCCCAGGCCCTGGGCTGAAGGGGTGGTTGACAAAAATGAGTGAGTCCTGCCCTTGCCCCCCACAAGGCCTTGAGCTCTGTCATTTTGTCTCTGTGGCAATCTGGTTTTAGCCGGTCGTGCCCTTTTACAGATAGGGATACTGAGGCCCAGTGAGACGGGTGCCTTGACCAGGGTTGTCTAGATCTCAGATCGCCCCCTGCCTGCGCTGATGCATTTGTTTGCCTCACAGCCAGCCCCCCACGGAGGAGGGCCGCCCGCCACCCCTTGGGGCTGTTCCAGGCCCCTGGAAAACCATCAGCCTCTGCAAAGCCCACAGGGAGCCCCCGGGCGCCCTGGCAGAGTCCTCGGCAGGGGAGGGCCCTGCAGCTGCCCAGCTGGACGTGGCCCGGCTGCGAAGCTCCTCCGTGGAGATCCGTGAGAAGGGCTCGGAGTTCCTGAAGGAGGAGTTATGCAAAGCACAGAAGGTGGGGCCTGAGGGCAGGGGGTGGGGCTCCGGAGAGGGGCTGCCCTGGGCTGGGCTCACACTGAGTCTCCGGGCGTTAATTATGCTCTGAGTGGTCAGTGGTCCACTCAGAGATTGGACCACTTCTCTACCAGAGAATTCCTGAGATTCCCGTCAGAGACCTGGGTTTGAATCCCTTCCAGTGCCCTTGTACACAGCACCACCATCTGATGTCTGACGTCTGACCGGGGAGGCTTGTGTTTGCTGGGACGCTGAACAGGTTTCGGCAGAAATTCCAGGTTAAGGTGGACTGGGAAGGAAGGTCTGGTGACTGACAGCTGAAAGTCTGGCAATGAAAACGCTGTGAATTCCAGCTGTCCGTAGTGCAGCCATGGCGGCCGTGCAGGACCGGCAAGGTTGCGTTCTGTTATTCACGGGTCACTGTGAAGCAGGGCCTGACTCAGTGGGAGCAATAACAACAATAACTGCCACCACCACAATGACAATAACCACCACCTCCACAATAAACACCACCACCGCCACCACAATAATAAACACCACCAGCACCACAACAATAAACAACAATAACCACCACTACCACCACCAGCACAATAATAAACACCACCACCACCACCACCACAATGACCACCACTACCACCACCACCACAACAATAAACACCACCACCACCATGACAATAACAATAAACACCACTACCACCACTACCACCGGCACCACAGTGACAACAATAAACACCACAATAACCACTACCAACACAACAACCATAACCACTCCCACCACTCCCACCACGACAACAATCCCAACACCCCCACAGTAACTGTGACAGTAACCCAATAGCAACGACGACAATCACCACCACAACAGTGATGACGGCCAGTACACGCACCCTGTTTTGCGACCGTCCCCACTGTCTATTTCCAAAAGGCTTTCATCCCTCTCGACAGACACTCAGTATCCCCTTCCTCCACCCTCCTTGCCCCGTAACCACCAATAGCTTGTGACTTTAAACCGTTGCGAAGTCTTCTCTGTGACAAGCTGTCCCAGCCCTACGGGACTAACCGTAGTTTCAGGCTCCTGCCGAATGCATTGTAGACTGCCAGGTATACGGGGCCCGGGAGCCTGGGCAGGGGGGCCTGGGGACCCCAGTGGCAGGCCCGGGACGCTGGCAGGGCTGACGGCACCTGCCTCGCACCCCCAGGAGCTGAAACTGAAGGATGAAGAGTGTGAACGGCTGTCGAAGGTACGCGAGCAGCTGGAAGAGGAGCTGGAAGAGCTGACGGCCAGCCTGTTTGAGGTGCACAGGCCAAGGGGGCAGGCTGGGGGCGGGATGCCCGGCTCCTCCAAGGGGGCAGGCTGGGAATAAAATGCCCGACTCCTCGCCGCTCACCCAGAACCTGCTGCTCTTCCCAGGAAGCCCACAAGATGGTCCGGGAAGCCAACATGAAGCAGGCAGCGTCAGAGAAGCAGCTGAGGGAGGCGAGAGGCAAGGTGAGCCGCCCGGAGCTCCCGCCTGCCCCCCAGCCCTGGGAGGCCTGGCCTTCCCGACCCAGGGGGAGTGTCACCCATGGGGTCAGCAGGGGTGGGAAAACAAGGGCACAGAAGAGATGGGAGCATCTGAGGTCACAGAGCTGAAGGCAGCTTGTGGGTGGGAGCCAGTGTTCCTTGGGACTCCAAGCAGTGTCCTCACCGCACCATGGGGCTCTTGGCTGGGGCCCTGCAGGGCCGAAGGGTCCTGTGGGTATGGTCATTTCCTGTCTCCCCTCTGCTGTTCCCCTTACAAAGCAGAAGCCCCAGACTGGCCCTGGGCGCTGAGCTGTTGGCCTGTCCGTGGAGTGGGAGGGCTGGCCTGTTCCTGGCTCGTTGGCGCCCCAGAGTGCTCAGTGCCCAGCCCACTCGCAGATGGGCACTAACAGCAGAGTCCTTGTCAGGTCACGTCTCTGATCCTCAGTTTCCCTGTCACATGGGTGTCTCGGTCCTTGCCTCGAAGGCTAGTCCAAGGATGACAGGTGGGGTTAGGTGCTGGCCCTGAACTGGGCTGGCAGGCAGTGGCCGCCATGGTGGTGTCAACTCTGGGTCATCTTGTCCTGGCCAGATCGACATGCTGCAAGCAGAGGTGACAGCCTTGAAGACCCTCGTCATCACGTCCACGCCAGCCTCCCCCAACCGTGAGCTGCACCCGCAGCTGCTGAGCCCCACCAAGGCCGGGCCCCGAAAGGGCCACTCCCGCCACAAGAGCACCAGCAGTGCGTTCTGCCCGGCCGTGTGCCCCGCTGCAGGGCACGCCCTCGCCCCAGACAGGGAGGGCAAGGAGGTGAGGGGTGCGGCAGGTGGCGGGCACGGGAAAGGAGAACACAGTACCAGTGAGGCCAGAGCCTGGCTCCTTGCTGTGTGACCTGGAGCCCTCATTGACTGTCTCTGGGCCTTCTCTGTGGCTGTGAGGGCTGCAGATAGAGACCTGAGGCCTTTGTTCTCTCGTCTTAGGGTGCGGGTGTAATCTGGGGGCCTGATAGCCCCACCCTGCCCCGCTGTTCCATGATGCAGCACTCTCTGCTGTGTAGTGTGACCACATAGGGGCTATGTCTGGCTCTGAGGGTCTGCCCTGGGGACCGGAAGAGGCTGGGCAGGAGCTGCTGGGCCTCTGGGGAGAGGCTGGCCCAGCCCCATATGGCCCCTGCCGTGAAACCCAGGCCCACCTCAGGACAGCCCTGGGCACAGCGTCCTCAGCGCCCCCTGGCTGTGGCATTGGGATAAGCATGGCCTTTGGAGGAGTGATCATCCTCCCTGAGGGGTGGGGCTCAGGTCCTTGGCTGGGCTGGACAGGGGCTGAGGGGGGAGACTGACACTCATGACTGTGGTCCTTGGGTGAGTGGGCTGTCGCAGTGCCTGTTTCCTCAGTGGTGGCTGAGGCCTTCCGGGGCTCTGTGAGGAATGGCAGGGCTCGGGTACCGAGAGCCCAGCTCAGGCTGCACCGTGTACAGCCTCCCACAGATGTGGTGGGAGGCCGCTTCCACAAGCCTGCCCCAGACTCACCTTGCCCTCCAACTCTGACTCCAGGACTGCCAGGGAGGAGGCACTAGGCCGGCCCCTTCCCTGGCAGGGCACAGTGTGACCCCCCCCCCCCAGAGCCCCAGGGTCACACAAGGGAGGCCACCATCCTCCTTCTGAGCTGCTGACTGGACACTAACACCTCTTCCTTCCTCCTGTCTGTCTCTCTGCATCTGTCTATCTGTCTGTCTGCCCTGCCACCCCGGCCCACCCAGCCTGGGCTGCCCCCTCTTCTCTCCCTGCTCCTCTGCGTGGTCCCCAGCAGGGCGGTCCACCTCACCTATGAGCCAGCCTGGCAGCTCCCGCCCGGGGAGCCGCCCGCCATCCCCATCTCTACTACCTCTCTCTCCTTTTCCCGCCAGGTAACGGCTCTGGCCCCGCCTTTGCCCACCCTGGCCTCGCTCTCTGCATGCACCCAGGGTGGCCAGTGAACCACGGCCGGGGTGGGCAGCAGGGGCGGCCTGGGTACGTCCCGTCCTCTTGTGTGCATGTGCCTGTGTGTGCTGTGTATTCCTGCACGTACCTGCAGGTTTGCCCTTTGACTTTTCCTCCTCAAGGGGGCAGCAGAGGGAGGGTTTCCAGGACCAGCCCTCAGACCCAAGTCTGCCTGCAACATGACTGTCATCTGGCCTCCCTGCTAGCCTCCTTTCCTTGGCATGCCCTCAAGCATCCTTACCGCTACGTGCTTCTTGTTCATTCACCTTTAGATCAAAAGAAAAAAGGGGGTGGGGGGAAGAATCCCACAAATCCTTCGATGCCAAGAACCTAAAAACTCACCTGGAAATGGAACCTTGTGTTCTAAATACTTTGGTGCAAGTGGAAGAACGGAACTCTTTCTGGGGAAGAGTTCTGCATGGCCGCTGGCCGCCTGCTGGCGTGCTGGGGTCCTCCCTGCTCCTCCTCTTCACCCGTCTCTTGTGTGTGGGGCTCCAGCACCCTGACTGCCCTTCACCCCAACCCACCCTCCCCCACAGGTGGACACGACCCTATTTGCAGAGTTCCAAGCCTGGAGGGAGTCACCCACCCTGGACAAGACTTGTCCCTTCCTGGAAAGGGTATACCGAGAGGACGTGGGTCCCTGCCTGGACTTCACAATGCAGGAGGTGAGCGGGGTGCAGGTGGCCAGCGGGAGCCCAGACCCATAGCCGGAGCCTGGCCCCTCACTGCCCCATCCTGCCACCTGCTTTGCTGTAGCTCTCAACATTGGTACGGGCCGCCGTGGAGGACAACACACTCACCATCGAGCCTGTGGCTTCACCGGCGCTGCCTGCAGTGAAGGTGGCGGCAGTCGAGTGTGACGGCACCAAGTAAGCTTAGCGCCTTCAGCCCGTCCCCGCCCACTGGGGAAAGCCCCACAGAGCCTCCAGCTGTGCCGAGGGGATGGCCAGGGTGTGCTGAGTCTTGGGCCAGCCTCTTGGGGTCTTGGTGTGAGACCTGAAGGTGCACAGGAGCTGTAGTGTCCAAGTTCGCCAGGTCCCAGGAGCGGGGGGCACCTCACCCACACAGAGAACTCCGTGCCCCCAGTCGTGGACTCCTAAGCCCTGTAAGGAGGTCTTGGGCTGGGAGCTCCCTCTTCCCGGTTGGCCGACATACATACCTTCTCCCTCTGCCCACCTGTTTGCCTGCTCCTTCCTACGCACCCTTCTGGCTACTATGCCCCACCTGCATGAGCTGGGGAGCCCCCAGCTGGCTGCCCACAGTCCCTTTGTTTCCCCCCCAGCACGTGTGCCCTGAGTGGGCTGGCCCGTGCCTGCCGCCACCGCATCCGGCTTGGTGACTCTGAGAGCCACTACTACATCTCGCCGTCCTCCCGGGCCAGGGTGAGTCGTCCTTTGGGGGCATCGCTTGGCTCCTTAGGGTCCACTTGGGCCAGGACTCTAGGCCTCAGTCCTGGGAGCACAACCAGGACACAAGCTCAATCTATAGAACACAGTACAGGCTCAGAGGGGCAGAGACTGACGGGCCATGCAGCACAGCAGATGTGTTAGCTTTTGCTTACTGTGTAAGAAATTCCTGCAGCTTAGTGGCTTAAACAACACCATTACGATCTCGCGGTCTCCCCGGGTCAGTCAGGAGTCCAGATGTATGTGGCTTCACTGGGGCTTCACAAGGTTGCAGTCAAGGTGTTGGCCAGGCTGCTTTCCTTTCCGGAGTTCAAGGTCGTCTTCTGAGCCCATGTGGTGGTTGGTAGAGTTTAGTTCCTTGTGATAGTAGGACTGAGGTCCCTCTTCTTGCTGCAGTTGGCCAGGGCCCTTGGAGGCCACCCACAGTCCCCTGCCACATGGTCCCCTCATAACTTGGTGGCTCACTTCTTCAAAGCCAGTAAGGGAAAGTCTCTCCAGTCTGCTAAGACACATCTAAAAGAATGAAACGTAATCACGGGAGGAGGGACATCCATCACCTGCCGAGGGAGTGAGTGATACACGGCCCAGGGCAAAGCTCTCTGCTCCAGGCTCCCAGGCTCCAGGCTCCCAGGCTCAGGCTTTTGAGACGGTGCAGAGGCCTGTCTGTTACCCAGGCAACAGCAAAGGGCTTCCAGGAGTCCCAGCTTCTACTCTCACCTGCTGGTGACTCAGGCTGCCTCAGGTCACCTCACTGAGCTGGAGCTGGAAGACAGGTGACTTCCATCCTCTGTCCCCTTCTGTCTCTCTGTCCTCTTCATAGTCTGTTGTTGCTGGGTGCCATCAAGTCAATTGGGACTCAGGGCAGTCCCCTGTGACAGTAGAACAGCCCCATCAGGTGGGGCTCGGGGCTCATTCCTGACCTTCTCTAAGCCTCCAGCTCCCTCCGGGTAAGCCATAAGGCTCTCTAGTGTCATTTTTAGGAAAGCAGGTTGCCCAGTCTTTCTCCTGCAGAGCCACTGGGTGAATTTGAACTGCCAGCCTTTGGGTTAGCGGCCAAGTGCTTGACCGTTGCACCACCAGGGCCCCTTTCACAGACCGTTGTTGTTGGATGGTGCTCCTGAGTTGGTTCCGACTCAGACCGACCCGTGTGCAACAGAACGAAACACAGAATGAGACACGGCCCGGTCCTGCACATCCGCACAATGGTTGCTGTGCCTGAGCCCATCGTTGCAGCCACTGTGTCAGTCCATCTCGTTGACGGCCTTCCCCCTGTTCACCGACCCTCACTTTAGCAAGCATGGTACCCTTCTCCAAGGAATGGTCCATACTGACAACTTGTTCAAAGTCTGTGAGACGAAGTCTCGTCCTCACTTCTAAGGAGCGTTCTGGCTGGACTTCCTCCACAGACTTGCGTATACCGTTAGGATTGAAAGAGGCAAAAGGGAACCCCTTTGGAGAACCCTGAGTCTTGGTGCAGGAGCGATGTGACAGGCTCTTTCTGGGCTGTCCTCTCCCCTCCCTACTAGAGGCTCCCATGGGGAAGAAGGGCCAAAGTGGACAAAGTGGCCCAATTGTCAGGCAACAGATTAGAGACGAGGGCAGTGGTCAAAGTGGAGCAGCTGTGGTGGGGCTGGACCATGGGGTCTTTGAGTGCATCCTCCTGGTCAGTATGACCAAAGGGGGACATCTGGGCTGGGGCTGGGGCCGGGGTCCGTGAGTGCATCCTCCTGGGCAGTGGGCAGTGCTCCCAGCAGCACGTGGAACTCCTGCTTCCTGGAAGGGATTCAGAGGCTCAGGAGGGTCACGGGTGTGCCCGAAGCCACCCTGCCAAGACCTTAAATCTCTACACTTGGGTCGTGTCTCTTTATGCTGCGGCCCCCTGCCCCACGGACTTGGGGCCACAGCCTTGGGTCCCCATCCCAACCAGGGCTCAACAGAGGGGCCAGTGTAAGAAATCCTCGTGGCTGGCAAAATAACACTACATTTGACGCTGGGTTTTCTCCAGGCCTGTGTGTCTGATGGTGCTGGCACAGCAGGGGGTGGGAGAGAAGAGAAGGGCCTGAGGTTCAGAGGTGGCCCTCCTCCCCCTGCCCTGAGGCAGAGACCTGCGCTGCGAGTCAGCAGGCAGGGGCATGTTCTCTCCCCAAAGCACAGCCCTGGACGACAGCTCCCCCACACACACACCGCGCCCCTGTTCCTCCTGGCCCATGAGCCTCCCATGGGTCCCTGCTGTCACCAGAGACGCCTGGCGCCCCAGCCTCTCCCACCCCAGCCTCTTGTAGATGCCCTCCTCCATTTGTTGTGCCCTGTATACTGGCCACACCAGGCTCTTTGCCTGGCCCTGCCACACACTCACAGCTCCCTGTCTATGCCCGGGCCACCAGCCCTTGCCCCACTTTGACCTCCTGCTCCAGCCAGAGCATCGCCCACACCCCCCACCTCCCAGAACTTCCCCTCTCCCCCACACTTAGCATGCCCCCGTGGAGCACTGGGCATTCAGGAGGGGTTGTGGGCACAGCCACCAGCCCCCTTCCACACTGCCTTGGGCTGGGTTCCCAAGAGGCAGAGCCCAGGATGGAGATTTTGTGCAGCTCTCAGAAGGGTGAGGGAAGCGGGATGGGTGGGGGCCGAGGGGGGACGCCAGCAAGGGTATGGCCTCTACTGGGGTTTGGCTTCAGCCTGATGCACAGTGTCTGGGGAGCACAGGGTTGGTTGCAGCCTGAGGCCAGGGGGCCTGCCTTATGGCCCCATGCCAGTCAGTGGCTGAGGTCTGCAGGGACAGGCGGTGCAGACAGGAGCATCTAGGAGCCTACTGGCCAGTGCTCTTAGCAGCTGGGAGATGGGGCCCAGGCTGGTGGCAAGGGCCCTGGGAAGGGCACCCACAGCACTTTCCCCACCAGAGGAGAGTCTGCTTCTTAGTTCTGTGACCTCTGCAGTCACTGGGCTCCATTCTTGGAGCCTGTTTTCCCCGCCTGTGCAATCGGGATGGTAAGCGTGTCTGCCTCATTTGGTGTGTGTGTTTAGTTAGCCGTCATCTGCACCCATTGCTTTCTTAGGAGAAGGAGTGTTGTTGGAGTCCCTGGGTTCATGCTGTTAACCGAAGGTTGGAGGGTTGAGTCTACCTCGGAAGAAGGGCTTGGGGATCTATGTCCCAAAACAGAGCCACTGAGAGCCCCGTGGAACGCAGTTCTCTGACACACAGGGTCACCCTGATCCGGAGGCCACTCCATAGCAGTCGTATTGAAGTCGTTCATTACAACTTTGGAGGCCAGCCCTGTCGGACTCAGGGAGCATTTTCTGGCTCTGACGGAAACGTGGGGTTCCCTGCTCTGGCCTCAGACGCACCCTCGCCTGTGGGGAGTCCTGGGGATCCGGGGCTGGCTGCTCACCCCTCTTCCGTTCTGCCCGCAGATCACAGCAGTGTGCAATTTCTTCACCTACATCCGATACATCCAGCAAGGCCTCGTGCGGCAGGACGGTGAGCGCCCCCTGGTGGCAGGCAGAGGGATGGCGCCCAGGAGAGGGAGGTGGGGGCTGGGTTGGCCTGGACTGGGCCTTCCCAGCCAGAAGGCCAGTGAGGGGGCCTGTGGTGGGTTAGTAAAGGGTTGGTGGACCACCTGAGTGCTGAATTCTGTGGGGAGTTCAGCTGCAGAGGGAGACACCCAGCCCATGCCACCTACAAGAAACTCCCCAGGGTGCCTTCTACTACCTGGGCGGGACTGCTCTTTCGCCTGCCAGTCTTCTTCTGGCTCCCAGGACTTGTGAAGACAGGCTCCTGTGACTGGCCCAGCATTCAAGGCTCTAAGAGCTTCTTTCACCCACCTGGTGTGGCCGCCTGGTGTCCCCTGCTTACAGAACCGCCTCCCCTCCTGCCCCCAGGCCTTTGCTTTCCTTGTGCTCCTTCCTGGCAGGCCCTCCATCCCGCCCTCTGCAAAGCCTGGTCTCCCCCTCCTCCAACCCAGCTTTGCTCCCTAGAGACTTCCCCCCCCTGCCAGTTTGCAGTCTGAGTTGCTGCAGAAGGTGTTTGGGGTCAACCCTCCCTGAAGACCAAGGCCAGCAGACACAGGGCATTGATACCTGCCAGGCCAGGGTGTGGACCTGAGGGGCTGCCACCTCCCAGGGACTTGGCTGGACACTGTGGCCCTGCCCACTGTTCAGGGACCTGTTGAGTGTGCTTCCCAGCCAGGGGTCATTACCGATGAGGGTAACATTGTGGTGTAGGTGCCTGGGTCAGGAGCTGGGTGACGCCCCACAAGTTCAGGGCCCATCCATCCCTTGTGTGCATTCAGTATGTGAGTTTCCAAGGTGTTCTCATACCCACGCTCTGTCCTTCCCCGAAACACCCCACCAGCCCCATCACAGTCAGGGCTTGAGTGTCCTAAAGCCCAGAAGTCTTCTCTCTCGGGTCTTCTGCCCTTCCCAGAAGCCAGGGGAGGGGGCAGGCGTCTGACTGAGCTGTCCCTGAGCTGTCACCATTTCTCTGCCCACAGCGGAGCCCATGTTCTGGGAGGTCATGAGGCTGCGGAAGGAGATGTCGCTGGCCAAGCTGGGCTTCTTCCCTCACGAGGCCTAGGGCGTGGCCTGGCCTGGAACGGGGCTCGCAGCCTGAGCAGACACCTGCCCCAGCACAGACAGACAGACAGACAGGAAAGTGGGCTCCTGGAGCCAGCACTGAACCACAAGCCAAATGTCTGCCCAGGATGGACAAACTGCCAGGCCCCAGAGATAGCACTGAGCCAGCACCAAGTATCCATCCCAGGCCAGACGCAGACGACCCTCCTCACTTCCCCACTGGGTTCTACAACCCACCGGAGACTTTCAGAAAGCACCAAAGATGGAGGAACTGGGGACCAGACGCAGGGGCTCAGCCATGGAATGAGCACGTGGGGCAGCCAGCTCCCCTCCTGGGTCCCCGGCCCTTGTTACGACCAAGTCCTGAGAAAAAGGGACCTGCCTGGGGGTGGCCAGATCTCCCGTGTATCTTGCGCCTCAGCTCCCCCCTGGCCACCCCCTTTTAACCAGTGCACAGGTGGCCTCCCCATTGGACTGACTGCCCCAGACTGGCCCTGGCCTTGCCTGCACCCTTTCCCGAAGTCCCCTGCTGTCCCAAGTGCTCACAGGGCAGCAGGGCCGGGAGGGGCTGGCAGGACCTCCAGATCCTCTCCAGTCCAACCTGTGAACCTGTGAACCTGTGTGTGGTTGAGAACCTCCCCCTAGAGGTTCCTTAAGATGAAGTCAGGAGCCCCCCCTCCCGCCCTCCGCCAGTCTTAGCCCAGTGCTTCCAGGAAGCCCTGGGGCATTTTTCTTCTTAGTAAAGCCCAGGTACTTCTCAGAACGCTCATGCCTGTTGTCAGCAGTGGGTGGTCGTCTGGACAAGGGACTGGGGTCTCCAGGCCCTGCAGGAAGGGCTGGGTGGGGCAGGCAGGACCTGGGCCCCGCTTCCCCCTCACAGCCCACGCAGGCCCAGAGTTAGGGGCTCCAGCCTGGACACATCCCTCACCATGTCCGGATTTCCTCCTCTGAGTGGAATGTAACGCAGTTTCTATTTAATAAAGGACGGCTTTGTGAGTAGGGGCCGGGCTGCCACGCGTCTTTGCTCCCGCTTGCTGGGGCTCAGGCCAAGGCCCGCCCGAGCATCTGAAGGAACGAAACCAAATCCTTCCCTTGCCTGCCCTCGTGCTTGGGATTAAACTCAAATCCTGGAGGCTCTCCCTATCCGCCACCCACTGCTCAAGCAAGTGCCTCCTCAGTGTGCTGTGGGGCTGGGGGCTACGGGGGGATGAGCCCGGCCTCCCTCTCCCCACGAGGAGGGGAGAAGGTGTGAGGCTGACTTGGCCACTGCCGCTCCCTGGGTCTCCCTGCTCTCAGGTGAAGGGGTTCTTGGCCAACTCCAGGCCAATATGGCTAAAACCTGAAGCTCAGAGTCAGAGCATCGAGGATTGATTGGTGATGTCTGGCAGCAGCGCAGGCTGGGCTGTGTGGCTTGAATGCTCTGGGTTTCACAGCCCTGCTCCTACATATGTTCCAGCAAGGGGCAGGGGACACAGGTAGAAGAGGGTGGGGTAGCTGGGTCCTCTGAGGGCTCTGGGTCGGGCTGGGGAGGTGTCTTATGATGGCTAACCCTCTCTACCTGTGGATGCCGCACCTGTGGGTGCTGTTCCTGGAGGGGACAGCAGCTTGTGAGCTGGTGCCTTCTGGAACTGGTGACACCCCGAGGGGGCCTTCCCCATTGGTCTGTGGCCTCAGGGCCACATGGCTGGTAGGTCTGGCTGGCTGCAGTTTGGCTGGGACCCACTGACAAGGCCTCTGTTCTGTCATCTCCGGCCAGTAGCCTTTTCCCAGGAGGTCTCCTGCTTCCCTGAACCCCCTTCTCTGAAGCCTCAGCCCAGGCTCCCCTCCCACTTCTACCAACTCGCTCCTTCCTCCCCCCACCCCCAGGACCCCCTCTCTCTTCCATCTGGGACTTATATCCCCATCCAGCCCCAGTCCCCTTAGGGCTCCTGTCACACAAGTCCACTCACTCACTGACCAAATACTGGGCCACTCCTGTCCCTGGTGCTGGGGACACCTGGTGTTTGAGCTTAGACTCTCAAGTGGGGAGACTGGCAAGAAAAACAAATGCGTGAGTCATATACCCAGGGTGTCAGGAAGAGGAAAGGAAGCAGGAAGGCAAGGGGGTCATCAGGGAAGGGTCCCCCATCCTCTGGAACAAATCTGTCCTGCTCTGTGGCAACCTTGGGCCAGCTGGGGGCTGAAGAAGGTGATGATCGGGGCCCTGAGTGGTCCATCTCTGTCCCCAGCTTCTGGGCCCCTGGTCCAGCCTCACCCAGGACCAAAGAAGCATGCAGTGACACTTGGGAGGCCTGGGGGTGCCCCACCCCAGAGATTCTCTGCCTCCCCCTCCTGTTGTCAGGTGGGGCCACTGAGAGCAGGCCGACGACACACATCCAGAGATGTGTGTGACGGACAGAGGGACACACACTCTGGCCTCAGCGTCCCCAAACAGTAGCTAATCTCTGAGCGCTGAACTGTGCGCCGGGCATGGTTCCAAGCTCTTTAAAGGAGCTCGATCACTGGATCCCCATTCATTAGCATCCCCCCTTTTCAGATGGATAGACAGGTGCTCAGAGGTCCCACAGAGGAATGGTGGCCCCAGGGGAAGGATGAACCATAGAGCCCATGGTATTAACCAGCATGCTAGAATTCTTTTACTGAACACCTATGAGGTGCCTGGCAATGAATTAGGCCCTTCCTTGGTGGTGGTATAGTGGTTAAAATATTTGGCTGCTAACCAAAATGTCGGCAGTTCAAACCCACCAGCGGCTCTGTGGGAGAAACATGAGGCAGTCTGTTTCTGTAAAGATTTACAGACTTGGAAACCCCACGGGGCAATTCTGCTATATCTTATAGAGTCAATATGAGTCGGAATGGGAGCTCTGGTAGCGTAGTGTGTAAGGCACTTGACTGCTAACCAGAAGGCTGGTGGTTCAAACCCACCTGCCACTCTTTGGAAGGAAAGTTGGGCAATCTACTTCCTTGGTAATAGCGCCTCAGAAACCCAAGGAGGGGTCGCTATGAGTCAGGTCCAACTTGACGGCACATAACAACAACAACATGAGTTGGAACCGGCTCAGTGGCAGTGGGCTTTTTGTGCTTTAGAAAAAGGAGAAACTGAGGTGTCTTAGTTACCTAGGGCTTCAATAACAGAAATACCACTAACGGGTGGCTTTACGACTAAGGCTTTAATGAACAAGTTTATTTTCTCCGTTTAGGCTACGAGAAGTCCGAATCCAGGGCTCTGGCTCCCCAGAGAGGCTTTCTCTCTGTCTGTCTGGGGGAGGCTCCTTGTCTCTCTCTGGGTCCTTTCCTCTAGGATCTTCACGTGCTGTGACAGCTCTCTCTCCATCTCTGCCTGCTCCTAAGAGCCTATCTGCCTATCGCAGGTCTCAAAAGTAATGCCTTAAGACACACCCTATACTGATAACGGCCTTGTTAACATAACAAACCAAAAAAAAAAAAAAAAAACCAAACCTGCCACCATGAAGTCCTGGAGTCTATCGGACTCGTAGCGACCCCTCCCATTCCCAAATCCGAAAAACAAACCCACACTGTGCTGTAGCCCTTGGGTTTGTTTCCAACTCAAGGCAACCCTCTAGGACAAAATAAAGGAGCTCAGGTGGTGCAGTGGGTAAGGCATCTGACTGCTAACCAGAAGGTCAGTGGCTCAAGCCCACCACCACCAGCCTTCTGCAGGAGGAAGAGGGGCAATCTGTTTCCATAAAGGTTTACAGCCTCGGAAACCCAACGGGGTGGCTATGAGTCAGAATTGACTCGATGGCAGTGAGTTTATTTGTTTGTTTGTTTTGAGGACAGAATAGCCCTGCCCCCGTAGGGTTCTACTCTGTCTCGGAAGCGCAACCGGAACGGTCCTTAGAATCAAGAATGGCCAGTCTCTGTCTCATGTGCTTTGGTCGTGTTGTCAGAAGGGATCACTCCTTGGAGAAGGACGTCATGCTGGTAAAGTGGAGGGCCAACAAAAATGGGAGGAATGCAGAAAGTGCCATGGACTGCTAAAAGGACTAACATCTGTCCCAGACAAAGTGCAGCCGGAATGCTCCTTGGAAGTGAGAATGACCTGACTTCGTCTCACCTACTTTGGTCATGTTGTCAGAAGGAACCATTCCCTAGAGAAGGATACCATGCTTGGTAAAGTGGAGGGTCAACGAAGGGGAAGGCCCTCAGAGAGATGGACTGACACGGTGGCTGCAACGATGGGCTCAGGGATAGCAGGGATCATGAGCCTGGCGTGGGACCGGGCAGTGTTTCGTTCTGCTGTGCACAGGGTCACTATGAGTCAGAGACGACTCGACTGCACCTAACAACAACAACATGCAGCTTCTAAGGCTGTAATCTTCACGGAAGTAGACTACCACATCTCTGTCCTGCAGACCGGCTGGTGGATTCGAACTGCCAACCTTCTGATTAGCAGCCACGCACTTAACCACTGCTCCACCAGGGCTCCTTCAACCACAAGTATTACCCTAAACCAGAAGCATTGCCATTGAGTCGATTCTGTCTCAGCAATCCTGTAAGAAAGAGTAGAACTGCCCCACAGGGTTTCCAAGGCCGCGCTCTACAGAAGCACATCGCCTCATCTTTCTCCTGCAGGGTGACGGGTGGGTTTGAATCACTGACCTATTAATTAGCAGCCGAGTGCTTTAACCACGGCACCACCAGGGCTCTGACCACAAGTCTAGAGGTTAGGAGTCACAACACATCCTTTGGGGGGGACACATTCATGAAGCTCATGACCCATATCACAAGGCTCAGGCAGTGGCGGAGCTGGGATTTGAACCTAGGCTTGTGGCCCACATTCTTGACCCCCCCCACAGCTGCCCCCAGCCCTGCTCTGCCGGCTGGGGGTGGGGGTTCCTCCCTGGAGCTACTCAGGGCTTTGGTGGTGGGTGGGGAGGGTAAGCTGACATTGTCTACACAGGGGTTGTTCCTCTCAAGTGGATTTCTAGGTAACCCACTCAGGCCTCATAAGTGCCCCTGGCACACGTGAACCAAAAA